ACAGGAAATGTTGAAGGGTCTTCTTTAACAAGAAGCTAATGAACAAAAGAATCTGACAAACTAAATAGATCCAGAGACATTGACGCACGCAACAGACGATCATATTTCAGAGGAAGGAGGGAAGGGGGGTGGAGGGTGGGAAGAGATTAACCAAAGAAGTTATATGCACATATGCATAACCCATGGTCACAGACAATGACGGGGTGAAGACCTGGGGAGAGGGTGGGAGCAATGTGGAGGGGGTCAATTGGGGAGAAAAATGGGACACCTGTAATACTCTCAACAATAACGATAAATTTAAAAAAAAAAAAAAAAGTTTACTGAAACCCTATACTCTTAAACTGAATACTTTAATTTATGCTTGTTATTTAAGGGAGTTAAAGAAGCCTGTCATAGAAGATAACATACAAAGAAAAATAACTAGATATTTAGATTTATAAGGAAATATTACCAAACCAATTTCTTACTTTATGTAAGCACACAGAAATTTACAATGGATCTCAAAATTATTTTAAATTCATGCTCTAAAAATTGTTAATATCAGGCCACTGCTGGCAATGAAATCACTCTTCCCCCTTCTTGGCCTCCCATCCCTCTCCTAAAAAAGCCAGAACTAACTGTTGTATTCTAAATGAGTACTTCAAAAATAAGTTCTCTATAATAGTTAATACACAATCAAAAATACTTTGGGAAACATAAGAATGGTCACTACTAATCTAGAAAGTTAAAAGAGTATTTAAGAGCTCAAGGAATGGGTTTTAGCATTTGTCTGGAGGAAGACAGTCTACGTTACACTAAGTATACTGCAGTTTTGGTTAAGAATTATTAACACTTAGGGCAGGCCAGCAGGTACTGAAAATAAAATTTTGAACAATCAGTTTTTACTTTCCAAAGTCCCATTTTGGAATAGTAATAATACTACCTTTGTGAAAAAGAAAAATATTCTCAATAATATTACAATTTAGAAAGTGTTACATTGATCCCACTGAAATTACAGAAAAGATTTTTCATAAGTAATGAGTGGATCAATGTGGCAAATTGAATACAGGTTCGTCTTCTTTACCAATCCAGATGCACAGACACTATGGGAAAACCAGATGCAGTCATATGCATATATAACTAAAGGAGAGAAAGGGGCTTGTGACACATGCAGGAACTATTTCAAAATGCTGCAAATTCGAGTGACAGGTATGAGCAGTGAAAGAGAGTCCTGGCCAACCAACATGATGAGTGGCTGGCTAGAATGCTTATAAAGTTCTACACGATCTATCTTCTATTTGCCTCTTCAACATCATCTCCTACATACTGGCCTTCTTTTGGTTCCTTGAACAGGTCTCCATCTGTGAATGTTACCACCAAATACAAGTCCTTTTTTACCACCCTACATAAAGTAGTCCCTAGTCTTTCTATCATCGCCCTTTACTTTATTTATTTTTAGGGTCTATCTTCCCCTGCTAGAGTTTGAGCCCCACAAAAGAAGAGATCTTCACTTATTCACTGCTCAGTGATATTCACTGAGTGGAAGAGTAAACTGCTTGGGGTACCAAAAAAGGAACAGCCAGGCAGTTCTGGGCCTTCCTTCCTCACCTCCACAGCAAGCAAAAGACACCAGAGGCATCTACTCCCAAAAAAGAGTAGTAAGAGGAAAATGTCTGTGGCCAAGAGAAAGGTTAGCAATGTAGGGAGGAGACAATATCCAAGAGAAAGGGAAAGCTTTTCTACCTTTGAAGACTAACTAATGGGCCACCCTCCAGACAGCATTAGAGACAAGGTGCCATCCAGTGTCAAGAAGCTTGTCCCATGCCTCTCTCAAAATTACTGGAGGAAGCGTACAGTAATTATGTATAGTATTTACAAAGCGACAAAAAAGAAATCTTATGGGGGGGCGAGAAAAGATGAGTACACAACTAGAATTAACCAAATACTATGGGAACTCAACACTATAAACCCCCCCCCCTAAATTCAACAAACAGAAGAACAGCCAAGGAAACAGCATTAATAACATAGAATAAGACTGTAATATCTTCAAGAGATATGTGAATATACAACATCCATAAGAAAAAAAATGAACTATATACAATTACTAGAAATTAAAAACATAATTATTGACATTTAAAAATAGCTGAATAGGACATTGGAAACAGCTTAAAAATGAGAAATTCTCCCAGTACAAAAAGCAAAGAGACAGAAATGGAAAGCATGAAATGAAAAGTTAATAGATAAGAAAAAAAGGAAATGAAGAAATAAAAGTATCTCTATTCACTGATGATATGATCTTATATACTATATAGAAAATCCTAAATAATACACCAAAAGCTGTTAGAGCTAATAAACACAGCAAACTTGTAGGATACAACTCAACACTAAAAAAATCAGTTGTATTTCTATACACTAGTAATGAAAAAAAATCTAAAAAGAAAATTAAGAAAATAATTCCATTTATGATAACAACAAAGAATAACAAGTGGTGCTGGAACTGGATAGCCACATACAAAATACTGAAGCTGGACCCTTCTCTAATACGATATACAAAAATTAACTCAAAATGATCCTACCATATGTACTTAATCAAGTGTGAAGCCAAATAAAGACAGTTTTTGAAATTAAAAAAACAAATTGTATTTTAAGCATGGTTTTGTTTTGTATTTTTTAAAAAATTTATTATTATTTTTTTAAATCCTCACCCGAGGATATTTTTTTTCCATTGCTTTTTCAGAGAGTGGTGGAAGGGGGAGAGAGAGAAAAAGAGAGAGAGAAACATCAATGTGAGATAGACACATCAATTGGTTGCCTCCCCAACCAGGAGCAAGGATTGAGTCTGCAACTGAGGTACATGCCCTTGGCCGAAATCGAACCCAGGACCCTTCAGTCTGTGGGCCGACGCTCTAAACACTGAGCCAAATCGGCTAGGGCTGTTCTTTATTTTACTTATTTATTTAAAATATTTCTTTACTGATTTCTTTACTGATTTCAGAGAGAGAGGAAGGGAGATGGGGAGAGAGAGATAGAAACATCAATGATGAGAGAGTCATTGATCAGCTGCCTCCTGCACGCCCGCAACTGGGGAATGAGCCCGCAACCCGGGCATGTGCCCTGATCGGGAACTGAACTGCGATCTCCTGGATCCTAGGTCGATACTGCTGAGCCACACCTGGCTGGGCAGTATCGACCTAGGATCCAGGAGACTGAGATTCCCTTCCCAGTCAAGTGCACATACCCGGGGTTGCGGGCTCAATCCCCAGTTGGGGGCGTGCAGGAGGCAGCCGATCAATGACTCTCTCATCATTGATGTTTCTGTCTCTCTCTCCCCATCTCCCTTCCTCTCTCTCTGAAATCAATATATATGTATGTATATATGTATATATGTATGTATGTATGTATGTATGTATATATATTTAAGGAAAAAAGAAAGTGTTTTATTGATATATGTTCTACATACTCTATAGTTTACTCATTTAAACTATACAGTTTAGTGGGTTTTTAAAAATTGAATTTATTGAGGTGGCACTGGTTCACAAAACCATATAAGTTTCTAATGTAAAACTCAACAAAACAGCATCTGCACACTGTATCATGTGCCCATCACCCAAGGAGCGCGCGCGCGCACACACACACACACACACACACACACACACACACAAATTAGTCTCCCATGCAACATATTTTAAAATATTACTTATAGAAGCATTTCAGGGGGTGGGAAGAAATTTAGGATACCAGAAACAATGCAGGTAAGTTTGATCAAGATGTAGCAATGGACACTTGAAAGAAACAACAGAATACATTTGACCTTGACACTTGGAAGAAGTCTCCTTTGAATAACAAAATTTAAATGACAGAGAATTACATTTCATTTTTTATGGTTCTAATCACATGTGATCATAAGATAACATATAATTATAATATAAATGCTCTTATTGATTTTCAATTCTTCAAATAAACTATGGACAAAGCATAACCAATTGTTACAGAAAAAATGTAGATGTTAAACTTTACTAATGTTTAAAAGTAATATAGCTCTAGCCAGTCTGGCTCAGTGGTTAGAGCATTGGACTGCAGGCTGATGGGTCCTGGTTCTATTCCAGCCAAGGGCATGTAACCTGGTTGCAGGCTTGATCCCTGGTTCCAGTTGGGGAGCATGCGGGAAGCACCAATTGATGTGTCTCTCTCACATCAATGTTTCTCTCTCTCTCTCGCTCTCTCTCCTTCCTTCCCTCCCTCCCCCTTCCACTCTCTCTGTAAAGCAATGGGAAAAGTATTCTTGGGTGAGGATTAAAAAAAAAAGCAATATAATTAATAAATATTGGAAGATGTACAAGGAAGAAAAGAGGAGGAAAGGAAAAGTATAATTTTCTCACCCGTCATAGCACTGAATCAATAGGTATTGTCTGAAATTACTAAATAAAAAAATAGATGAATAAGTATATTATTTACAAGTTATTAATGGCAATGAGAACAAGAATTAAAACAGGAACTTAACAGGGTTTGGGGAGTGCAATGGGGTATGGGAGGGTGTTAACAAAGCAATTACTTTAAATTTTCTATCCTTCTGAATTGCTTTCATGTTTAGGTATTAATTGAATAATTTAAAATTACTAGTTTATCAAAAATTAAATATTTAAATTATATCTATTCAGTAAAATATTATGTTATTGTTTAAAAAAGTTAAATGAGGTGGAACTATGTGTACTGACAGGAATAGTACATAATAAGTGGAAAAAATGCAAACCAGCACATCTATATAAAAAACTATATGTAGCTCTGACTGGTGTGGCTCAGTTGGTTGAATTCGTCCTATGCACCAAAAGGTTACCAGTTCAATTCCCCGTCAGGAAACAAGCCTGGGTTTTGGGCTTGAGTACCCAGTAGGGGGCGTGCAGGAGGCAGCTGATCTATGTCTCTCTCACATCAGTGTTTCTCTCTCTCCCTCTCCCTTCCTCTCTCAAAAATCAATAAAAACATTTTTAAAAGTATATGTAAGTAAATACACAATATGTAATTATGTCTTTGTAAATATAGAATACATATAAAGAAATACGTCTAGATAAATATGTATATGTTAGTTTAAAACATGTCTGGAAAGATTTATTAATAGCTATGTCTATAGGTTCGGAAGTGGGATGGTTTTACTCTATATATACACAAATACTACTTATATAATAACAATAATGAGATACAATGGTAAAGATTTAACAAGATGTCTATAATATACTGTAAAATGAAAAAATTAAGTTGCAGATCAATATGTATATAATACAATTCTATTTTTGTGAATAAAAAGTTGCAGGTATAGCCCAGCCGATATGGCTCAGTGGTTGAGCATCAACTTATGCATCAGGAGGTCCCCGTTCGATTCCTGGTGAGGACACGTGCCTGGGTTTCGGGCTCAATCCTGGGAGGGGGGCATGCAGGAGGCAGACGATCGATATTGATGTTAATGTTTCTATCTCTCTCTCCCTTCCTCTCTAAAAAATCAATAAAACGTATTTAGAAAAAAAAAAGTTGCAGGTATGTAAACAGATCTGTATAAGCTTAAATCAAAAAGAGTAAGTACCAAATAGCAGATTAACAACAGGTAATGGTTACCTCTGTGATTTGAAGAGATAGAAAAGGGAAATTAAATTCCTACATTATATAACTTAAAAAAGAAAGTCATGAGATTTTGGATGATTTTTACTTTCTGTTTAAAAATTTTTCAAATAAATTACATCCCATGAAAACAAGATTAAATTCATAAAATTCTTAAAAAGGAAACTTATAACAGGCATTTTTAAGTGGAAATCTAAAAATAAGTTCTTCCTACCCACTAAAACTAAATCTTGTCATTAATATAAAACAGACATTGCTAGAAAGCTCCTAGGTAATTCGCCAGAGGGCTCTCTCACCAAAGATAGTTCTGCCATCTCCATTGAGAAGTTCTGGACACCTGCAACTAAGATGGCCTTCTGAAATACCTGTGACCTCAGAATCTTGTGACATAGACAATTACATTCCAAAGAACAGAACTTTAGAAAACAATGCATTTCTTTAAAAGCATTAAAGGATAAGAAATTGGTTTGAAAGAATTATACTTACATGTAAACATAATTCGCTGGGTACAGAAGTTATCACATTCAGGTCACTTTTGAACACTGATATGTTAGCAGGCTGATTGGCAGCCACATTGGAAAGAATCTTAGTGCCTGTCTGCTGAAAATCAGGGGAGTGTGCAGGACTGTCCTGAATTCCACAGTGACTGATGGCTATGACTTCTGGCACTGGACATGAGAGTGTATCTTCAGCACAGGAAGAAAATGGAGAGTCTATGCTTTGGATATCCTTCTGGCTCTCAGGATAGACGCTAGTTATGCTATGCTCCTGATAGAGCAAGTTTCTTAATTTTTCATCTAGAGTTTTAATTCGGTTATCTGCAAACTCCATTTTTGGAGGTCTTTCCCCATCTGATTCCAGGACAGTAGTGGGCAGAAATGTAGTCGGTTCAAGGCTGGGGGTCTGAGTGGGAATGACTGTCTTAGGAGAACTTGCTTCAGTGTTCACTGTGGTTTTTTCTCCTTCTTGAGAAATAAACTCTGCATCCATAGTTGGTTGCTGCACTGATAAGGACTGAGGCCTTTGATCAGAAATAAATGCTGAAGTTTTAAGAGCATTACCAGCAATCTGAGTTGACTCGCCAGAAGGTGCCGTAATTACATTAGCCTGACTGGTAGCCTGGTGACATGGATACACAGGTAGAAATATTCTTGCTTGGTTGCTTAGTCCCTCACATTCAACTGGAACTGTACAAACTGAAGTCGCAGTATAAGTGGAACTACTAGCAGCTGGCACCATTCTATGCCTGTCGTCTTCCACTTGAGAAAGTAGAGATGACTTCTTAGTTTCTACACTGGCACATTCAGAAATCTTACCATCCACCACATCCTTATGCTCTGACTTGGAGGTGAAAAGTGCACGCTGGCATGCGTTATTTTCTATAGTGAGCAGTGTGTCCTGTGATATTTCCTTATTATTTGTTTTTCTTGGACCTGGAACAATAATAAAGAATGGCTAAGCAGATATTGGTAAGTACAAAGCATGGACTACTATCCAACTCAGAAGAGAGAGGAAGAGCAAGGGGCAAATGAAAACTTGTGTGAAAGTACTTTTTCTTTGTGTGTGTGAAAGTACTTTTGTAAATAAGACTCAAAATACACAGAATTCAACCTGTCAAGGAAAAAAATTTTCTTTTTAAAATAAATATTAAATAAAAACAGCTTAAGTTACACCCTACTATTAAGCATCTTCAAAAATGTTTATGAAAATTCTCATAAGCACAAAATACCCATGAAAACGAGTTAAAGATATGGTCCAGCCCTGACGGGTGTGGCTCAGTTGGTTGGGCATCATCCCGTGCACCAATAGGTTGCCGGTACAATTCCTGGTAAGGCAGGTGCCTGGGTTGCAGGCTTGATCAGGCCTGTAGAAGACAACCGATCGATGTTTCACTATCTCCCTCTCCATTCCTCTCTCTCTAAAATCAATGAAAAAAAATCTAAAAACAAAAAAAGGTACAGTTCATATTTGTACCCCCAAACTGCAAGTCTGAATAAAGTTGGCAGAGAATGAATGCTTACTAGAAAGTGGATACAGCCCAGGAACTGTAGACATGGAGGGCTGCTGAAAAGAAGATTGAGCCTCACGGTTTCTTATTGTTTGATTGATACAGAATCGCCAGCGACCAACTGGGGATGACTGAGGAGCAGATTCACCTGTAGAAAAAATTAGCAAAATTTAATATACTAAGCAATTGTCAGTACGTTTACCTTACTGACAAAGGAAACCAGGTTAAAACACCAATTTTTCTTATATCTCCATTTCCAACAACACTACGATATGTGTAATTTGTAAGAACAAACCTCCTAATCCTGACAAATAGTCTAAAGAATTAAGCACAGCCTGGCTGGTGTGGCTCAGTTGGTTGAGCGTCAAACCATGCACCAAGAGGCTGCAGGTTCGGGGACACATGGCCTAGTTGCAGGCAGGATCCCCAGTAGGGGGCATGCAGGAGGCAGTTGATGGATGTCTTTCTCTCATCAATGTCTCTGTCTCTCTCTCCCACTCCCTTCCTCTCTCTCTAAATTCAATAAAAACATAATTTAAAAATTTTTTTAAAGAATTAAATGTAAGTCTTCTTTAGAGAAAGATTTTAGATTCTACTGAAACAAACATATCAATAGCAGTTAGAAGCAGGGCACTTTTAGGGGGGGAAGGAAAGCACTTTTACCATTAAGACCTACATTTCCTGTTCTATATCCTGATTATGGTGGTGCTTACAGAAATCTACACTGAGTATTAAAATTTAGAGAGCTGGCCCAGCTGGCGAGGCTCATCCCCAGCAGGGGGCGTGCAGGAGGCAGCTGATCAATGACTCTCTCACCATTGATGTTTCTCTCTCTCTCTCCTCCTTTCCCTTCCTCTCTCTGAAATCAATAAAAACATATTTTTTAAAAATTTACAGAACTGTACACCAAAAGCAAAAAGTCCATTTTACAGTATGACAGCTTTAAAAAAAATAAAATAGGCCCCTACATCCTTACTTCTACTTTGTAAACTTATTCAAATAAGTAATTTTCATTTAAATGTTGCCCTAGTTTGTCAGCCATAAATCTACTCCGACTCCTGCTAATGAGAAAAAGAATATAGAGGAGGACCCTGGCGTTCTAACACAAATTAAATTTCAAGGTAATGGTATCTGGATCCATGACTCGCACACCACCTGTTGCTTCTTCATGTCATTATAATTCCTTCAGGAGTCATTTGTCTATGGCTTTTCTCCCCCTCCCAGATACTCTAAATATACCCATGACCAGAGCTAAGAAGAATGGAGAAACAAAGTCATCAGAAAGAAAACAGAGCGCCCCATATTTTAGTCCCTGGAAATTTATCTGGTATCTGATTGACGAAAGCTTTAGTGATCAGAGCAAGTAGAAGCATATCACTGGTGGAATGAAATCACAATATCAATGACTATTAAAACATGAGGCAAACTTAGAACATAATGATTTTAGTTAAGAACATTTCTCTACATCTCACATCAGGGGGAGAAAAACTTACCAATCATGTTCAAACAGTAAAGCTGTTAAAGGTCATCAGTACAGTGACTGCTTTTCTGGTAACATACCATAAGGCAACCCGGAAATAAATTAATCAGATAACGAACTAACACGTGAAGGAGATTTGGAGAATGGTTTTACTCCTTATTATACTTTCTTCTGGGCTATAAAGTCCTTTAAGAGTGTGGGAAAACCTACATTAACAACTGATTGAATTCTTTTACTGGCTAACATCTTTCCCAATGAAGGTGACTAAATTAAAGTTTCCAAATATCTTGTTTCAAATGCCAAATGGTAAATTTTATTAAATATACTTACTGCTGGTTTGAGTGGATGCAGAATTTATCTGTACTTGTTCAGATGATCCTGTCTGAATTAAAAATGAATAGATAAATAAAGAAGTTCCTGATACATATCCCAGAAGACCTATTTGCTAAATAATTGCTCTTACTTGGCTACTGTTGGATTCCACGGCAATAGAGTCAACTCCAGTGGCTCTCTCTGCAGCAGAGTTGACATGAAGAATCTCATGGGCTTGACCTACAATAGCCCTCAATTCTTCAACAAATTTTTCTTTCTCACTATCCAGCACAAAGTTATCTTCAACCTGTTCAAAAGTAAAAGTAAGTCTATACACGAGAATGAATTTAGTTTCTTCAAAATTATAATACTGTATCTACCAATGGTGACTACCCTAAAGAAAAATAAATAAAAATCAATTATTTAGATCAAATGCCACAATAGAATTAACAAAGACCAGGAATAAAATGCAACATAACATATTAAATTATTCTATTTTGAGACCACTGACATTTGTCAGGTTGGCATTACCTACAAGAGAAGAAGCCAGCATTTTAAAAATGATCTGGCATTCCATAAATTGTTATTTGAAGGACATAACTAAGACAATGTTTATATTAAAAACTAGATGTCCAAACTGAAAAGCTTTTAAATCACAAATCACAAAATGAAGCATGTCTAAAGTTGATAAAGAATGCACTGGAGACAGTTCAGAAAACACTATGCTAAACAAGAGGCAGAACAAAGAATATTTTAACTTTTAAAATGTTTAATTCTGCTTAGCCAGGAATGTCTCTCCACATAAAACTGGCAGAAACAAAAGCATTATGTACTCTTCCTGCCTCCCTAGACCATCCCCATTTTTAAATAACAAAAAAATATGCCCTGGCTTATGTGGCACAGTTAGTCGGGCGTCCTGCCATGCAACAAGAGTTTACTGGTTCAATTCCTGTTCAGGGCACATGCCCAGGCTGTGTGCTCATACCCAGTAGAGGCCTGCAGGAGGCATCTGATCGGTTTTATCCTCTCACATTCATGTTTCTCTCTTCTCCCTTCCTCTCTCTCAAAAAAATCAATAAACCATTCTTAAAAAATAATAAATAAGCAATGGAAAAATACTAACTTAAGCCTAACAACTCAAATATGAAAACTAAATGAAATAATGAACATTATTAAAATATTGAAATATAAGAAGTTATATCAGTAGCTAACACATTAGAATTACGTGGGGAACTTTATAAACTACTGATGCTTAGACCTCAACTCCAAAGATACCGATTTAATTATGGACCTAAGGAATTGTTTTTATTAAAACTCTTCAGGTGATTTTAAAATGCAGCAAGGGATAAGAACCACTGACCTAAAACATCTCTTAATGAAACACCTGCATATTTTGCAGATAAATATACTGAAACCAGAGGAAGTACACTGACTTCCTCTTGATCATAACCAATTTTGCTCTGTACAAATTTTAAAAACAGTACCCTAAAAAAAAAGATGCCTGAATAAATGGGGGAAGAGTTACAGGGAGAAAAAGAGAGAACACTACAAGGAAAATCATTTGGTTTTATTGTACTTACCATATAGTCTGCAATATCCTCTGGTGCATCACCATCAGCATCAAACTTGAAGGTGACCATCTTATTATTGTGTGTCTCCAGTTGACATTCTACCATGTTATCTCCAGAGGTTGACACCTGGGCAAAAACATTTCACCACCAGATTAAGAATCAATAATTATAGGAAGAATCAACATAGTTAAAATGGCTCTCTTACCCAAAGCAATATACAGATAATGTGATCCCCATCAAAATCTCAATGGCATTTTTTAAGGAAATAAAACAAAAAATCATCAGATTTCTATAGAACCACAGATGACTCTGAATAGCCAAAACAATCTTAAGAGAAAAAAACCCCAAAGCTGGAACTATCACACTCCCTGACTTCAAATTATACTACAAAGTGCCAATAATCAAAACAACATGGTATAGGCAGAAAAACAGACGCACAGACCAGTGGAATAGAATCGAGAGCCCAGAAATACGCTCATATGTATATGGGCAAATAATTTTCCACAAAGAAGACAAAAACATACAATATAAAAAGGAAAGCCTGCCCGGCAGAGCATGGCTCAACAGTTGAGTGTCGNGATCAATGACACTCTCATCATTGATGTTTCTATCTCTCTCTCTCCCTCTCCTTTCCTCTCTCTGAAATCAATAAAGATATATATATATATATATCTTTACTGATTTCAGGGTTCGATTCCCGGTCAGGGCACATGCCCGGGTTGCGGGCTGCAGCCAATCAATGACTCTCTCATCATTGATGTTTCTATATCTCCCTTTCCATCTCCTTTCCTCTCTCTGAAATCAGTAAAGATATATATATATATATATCTTTTTTTTAAAAAAGATATATATAAATATATAGTTTTTTTTAAAAAAGGAAAGCCTCTTCAATTAATGGTGCTTGGAAAATTGGAAAGCCACATGCAAAAGAATGAAACTAGCCCAGCCTGCATGGTTCAATGGTTCAGTGAAGACCCATGAACCAGAAGATCAGAGTTTGATTCCCAGTAGGAAACATGCCTGGGTTGCAGGCTTGAACACCAGTAGGGGTTGTGTAGGAGGCAGCTGATCAATGACTCTATCATCATTGATGTTTCTATCTCTCCCTCTCTCTGAAATCAATAAAAAATATTAAAAAAATAATGAAACTAGACTATTTGTAACCATATACAAAAATTAACTCAATATGGATCAAAGACCTAAATATAAGACCTGAAACAATAAATTACATAGAAAAAAACATAAGTATTAAACATGGGACAAAATGGGTGGATCTTGAGAAAATCATGCTAAGTGAAATAAATCAGACAAAAAAGGTCAAGAACCACATGATTTCACTCATGTGGGATAGAAAACTGAAAGCAACAAATGAACAAATAAGACAAGCGAACAAAAACTAATAGATGCAGATAACAATATGGTGGTTACCAAAGGGAAAAGGGGTGGGGGGAGGTAGTAAGGGTAAAGGGGGTCAAATATATGGTGATGGAAGATCTGACATCACGTGGTAAACACACAGTGCAGTATACACAAGACATTATAGAATTGTAAACTTGAAACCTGTATAATTTGTTTTTGTTAATCCTCAATTGAAGATATTTTCGC